CTTAGGGGGAAAGCTGAAAGCTTTAGTGTGATGTTCAATATGATGTTAGCTGTGGGTTTGTCATATATGGCCTTTATTGTATTGAGATACTTTCTATACCTAATTTGTTGAGGGTTTTTATCGTGAAGAGATGTTGAGTTTTATCAAATGCTTTTTCTGTGTCTATTGAGATGATCATATTTGTTTTTTTTTTCTTTCATTCTGTTGATATATGTTGACCATCTTTACATTCCTGGGGTAAATCCCACTTGATCATGGTGTATAATCTTTTTCATGTGCTGTTGAGTTTGGTTTGCTAGTATTTTACTGAGGATTTTTGCATCTGTATTCATTAGGGATATTGGCCTGTAGTTATCTTTTTTGTGTTGTGTCCTTCTCTGGTTTTGGTATCAGGGTAATGCTGGTCTCCTAGAATGGGTTTGGAAGAATTCCCTCCACTTTAATTTTTTGAAGTAGTTTGAAAAATATTGGTTTTTCTCCATTAAAAATTTGGTAGAAATTGGCAGTAAAGCCATCTGATTCAGGGCTTTTCTTTGTTTGGAGACTTTTTATTACGGTTTCAGTCTTATTACTTGTTATTGGTCTGTTCAGATTTTCTGTAGGTAATATGTGTCCAGGAATTTATCCGTTTTCTCTAGGTTTTCAAATTTGTTGGCATATAGTTCATAATAGTCTCTAAANCTTGAACTTTTTGAAGTACCCTTGTACTGCTAAATCAAGGCATTTATCTCTTATTAATTTCCTTCTACTGTTTTAGCTGCATCTTATGAACAGTAATTTTAATGTTTAGTATTTTCATTATCTTTGTTCAGAAACTTAATTTCCATTATTTTTTTCTTTGATACATTGGTCATTTCAAAGTTGGCTTTTTAATTTACACTTTTTAAATTTATCTTCTACTGATTTCTAGCATATTGTGGTAGGATAAGAGGGCATACTCTTTGTGATTATAATCTGAAATTTTTGAAGCTTGTTTTATGGTCAACTTTCGTTACTATTGCTTATCTTCTATAATTTCTTTGATCAGTGTTTTATAGTTTTCCTTCTAGAGATCATTTACCTCCTTGGTTAAATTTATTCCTAGGTATTTTATTTGTTTTTGTTGCTATTGTAAATAGGATTGCTTTTTGATTTTTTTTCTTTTCATGCTAGTTTGTTGGCGTATAGAAATGCTACTGATTTTTGTATGTGAATTTTGTATCCTGCAACTTTATTGAATTTATCAGGCCTAAGAGGTTTTTGGTAGAGTCTTCAGGTTTCTCTCTATATAAAATCATGTTGTCTGCAAACAGGGACTGTTTGACTTCCTCCTTTCCAATTTGGATGTCCTTTATTTCTTTCCCTTGCCTCATTGCTCTGGCTAGGACTTCCAGCTCTGTGTTAGATAAGAGTTGTGAGAGTGGGCATCCTTGTCTTGTTCCAGTTCTTAGGGGGAAAGCTGAAAGCTTTAGTGTGATGTTCAATATGATGTTAGCTGTGGGTTTGT